TCTCAAGAGTAGTGGCCAGTGGCCACGGGAGGTCTGAAGACAGTGAGGGATGTGTGATTCCTCATCTGCCATAATCATCATGAGATTAGAAATGTCATTAGACGTGGTCTGCATGCACACAAGACGACTATTCAGATTGAGCATTTGCTGTAGAAAGAGACCGTTTCTTTAGGGGCCAGGGAGCAATCTCTGCTTCTTGTAAGGCTTGTTGGTGGTTTGGCTGAACATGGAAACCCTAGCAAACAAACTCCTTCTCGCACATTCCATCCACACACCTCACTGACATAAGTGGAGCCCAACTGGTAGTGATCCCACAGGAGAGAAAAGAACTGGATTGGAGAGGCTGTAAATCTTTAAGGAGCCAGAAAGCCTTACTTTTCTCCCAGGGGGCAGCGAGTGGGTTCAAATGGCTAACCAAACAGTTGGCAGCCCAAAGCCACCAGGTTTTGGTCATGTGCACAGAGAGAAATTGCTTTAGGTTGCCAATTTCAGCTAGAGATGTGTGTGTGTGGGGGGGTGTTTGTTTCAGCATCTACTCAAATTCTATCTATCTCTCTCTCCTTCAAAACATTTTCATTGGCCATTCAGTGTTAGAGAGAAACACATTTCCCATTCATCCCAAACATGGCAGCCGCAGCCATGCCCTCTCCCCCCACCCCCACCCCCACACACACACTCCCAGAGCCCTGCAAACTGGCGGAGCTGGCGTTTGTCAGGGAGACTGGTTATCGGGTTTTCACACTAACTCTGAGGGTGGCAAAGTTAGCCACCTAGAACTTCTGAATAACATGCCCACCCAATTACTTTTCCTAATATTATAGGTCTTTCCCAGAAAGGAAACCCGTTCTCAAAAATCATCCGCTTGATGGCACTGTGGCCTCACGAGTACTTCCACGCTGGTCTCTCTTTCCTGTGTAAAAACCAAAACAAAGCAAGTCCCAGAAGTCGCTACTTGGGGTTTCCTTCATTTACTAATTGAATGGGAGCAAAGCTGGGCTTTCTAGTCCCCTAAAGAATCCCAGTGTTGGAAACGCCCAGGGGCAGTTCTGTCATGTCCCAAAGGCTCGCTATGGGGCGGCATCAGCCTGATGGCGCTGAGTTTGCATGTGTGTGTGTGTGCTTTAATTTAGTTGACTAACATGTATTACTTCAAGATACAGTGTTAGTCCATGAACACTTTATAAATATAAATGTCATGTCCAAAGATATGGTCTACGCTGTCAGCGATCAGACTCCTGAATCCTTGCCCCGAATGAGGTGGTTCATGAATGCACCCAAGCTACTGTGGCACAACTCCAAGAAACTCCCTGTCCTAGAGTCGATCCTGACGAATGGCTACCCTACA